GTGGTGAGGTGTTGTATTCTCTTCCCTTGTTATTTCCTTTATCATTATTATTATTGGTGGTAGCAGTAATGATTTGTGTTATACCTTAGTTACTAAACTGTTCTTATCTCAACCCGTGGGAGTTGCATTCCTTTTGATTCTCCTCTCCATCCCTCCAGGAGTAGGGGGAAGAAAGAGGGAGGAAAGGGGGGGGAGTGAGTGAATGAGCTGGCTGGCTGGGTTTAAACCACGACACTCATGCATAGTAATTTGGCCTCTGATGTCAATAACAGCAAGCCTCGGGGCCAAAATAGCCCTCATTAACCTCTTCAAGTGTTGCCTGCAGCAGTTTGTGCATGGGGCAAAAGGCACCTCATGCTCCCCACACAAATGGTACAGAAACTGGGAAGAGAGAATGTACAAAACAAACAAAAAAAAACCAACCCAAACCAAAAGCCATTACCACATCTGGAGGCACAACAAGCTGTAAAGAAGGATCCTGACCTATTCCCCACTGCCCAGCAGCCACAAGGTAAGGTCTTCACTGTGCACAGTGTACCACACACGGTAGGGCTGCTGAGACTACCTCTGAATTTTTACACTCTTGCCATCAGGTTCTTGTGTCACTGCTCATTTTTTCTATTCCCTAGCTAAAACAATCCTGCAGCTAAATGCTTATCACTTTTTCCAAACAGTATTTAAACATCTGAAAGCAGTACTTTACACCTGTGCTTCAGTCTACATCAAAATCACACAGACCTGTTTGTCATCACAGGATTTCCTACCTTGCATTTCCAATTTTTGTTTTTTCCCTTTCAAATATGAGGGCAGATTGAAGAATGGGATGTGTAAACAATTTTTTTTTCACCCACTACATTGTATGGGCTAGGCACCAAGCCCACAACTTGGTGCAAATAACTCCCAAGCACTGAAATTTAAATACCAAAAGCTTCCCGTTTGTTTGCCTTTCATATTTTCCTCTTTATTTACTTCAGTCAAGTGGAATGCAAGCTCAAGGGTCCACTGACATTACACAAAGGCATCAAAACTCCTCAACTTGTTCTGTGCTTGCAACGCTTCCAACATAGCAGTATACTATGTACTTCTCTGTCCATGCAAATATACACCTGAAACCATGACCTTGTTACCACTGCTTTCACACAGTTGTTCTCCATCCTACCATAGCCTGCCCTACAATCAGCAATTACAAGGAAAAAGGTAATGAGGGAGAGGGTTTTTTGCTGTTTGCCCTGCAGCCAACCAAGCCTTACTGCCTCTGGTACAAAGTAAGCAACTAAAGCAGATGTACCATTCAAAACAAAGACTGATCTAATGCAAAAGTCTCCAGCCAAAAGGAAGCAAAGAAGGAAAGTATAGCAAACAACATAAACTGGCTTATTTTCCTAAGTTTTCCACCAAGGCTTCCACAGCATTTTCATATAAGCAGAAAAGAACACTGCTAAAATCATGACATAATAATTAAACAGATATTAAGACAATGACAGAATAAACAACACCAAAAATATCCAGAAGGTTTTAAAAGTAATTTGGCTATACTTGCATTCTAGTGAACTGTATTAACCATAAAGGACAGGGATTAAAATAAGCCTGGCTATTCAAAAATTGCAAGAGGATTTTGCTCACTATAAGGAACATGCTGTCCACAGACAATGGAAATTACACCCTTCTAGGTATAACCTATGCAGCAGCTGACGGGCTCCTTCTAAGTGGGTGATAACGGCAAAGCAGGCTCATCATGGAGGCACAGTGCACAGCGGCTGCTGCTAGGACCAGGCCTCAAGGCACAAGTGCTGATGCAACACAAATCTAGCATCGTTCACGAGGTGTATGGCACCATGAAGAGAAAAACAGAAGAGGGAAAACAGGCTCAAGACCACCATACTGTGGTGGCCACCCTCTGCACATCTTCCCTGCCCATCCCTGTCAGTGTTCAAGGCCAGATTGGACAAGCTTTGAGCAACCTGATCTACTGGAAAATGTCCCTGCCTACGGCAGGGTGGTTGGAACTAAATGATCTTTAAGGTCCCTTCCAACCCAAACCATTCTGTGATTCCATGATTTGCATCAGCTGGTACCATTGACACCATTTGCAGGTGTAGGGCCTCTGGTTTTATTCATCCTTATATTGGTTCAAGGTAATGACACACACCTGGCTGATGACATTTGCTTTTTAAGTGAGAAAAGAGACATCTTTTGCCTCTCCAATAGGCCCCAAAACTACTCAAGCCACCATGACAACATCTCTGTTTAAAACTACCACCTCAAACTTACAACACGGCCAAGGCGGGAAACCACAAACAGGCACCAAGCCTTCCCCAGATCATGGCTGCTGAGTGGGAGGGAGAGCCATCCCCTCAAGCTGCCGGACCCTCCGAGGGCAGGTCTCTAGAACATGGGAGCGAGAGGACCCCGTCTTAGTCAGCGGATCAGCACCCTGGGCACCCGAGCAGAACGCGGCAGCTGGTCCGGCCGCTTGAGGCAGCCCACGGGCACACAGCCGGGGCGGTGGCTCCGCTCTCCCGCCCCCCAGCGCGCTCCGCCCCGGCCCAGCTCCGAGCAGCAATTACCAGTGCTTCCCATAGAGCCAGTTCCCGCCCCAGCTCAGCAAGCAGACCCCGAACGTGGTTTTCTTCCAGTGAGTCCTCAGCGTCGCGAACACCTTCATCGCTGCGGCCATGCCGCCCGGCGCCGGGGCACACCGGCCGCCCCTCAGCAAAGGCCGGCGGGAACCGCCGTGCCGCTCCCCAGCCCGCCGCGGCTCGGCTGGAAACGGCTGCCCCGGCTCCGGCGTTCCGCACAGAGACGCCGTCGCGGCCCTGCGGCCTTCCGGATCCCGGCACCGGGGGGTCTTTGCCTAACCTGCCCCCTCCCCCCCACCCCACCATGGAGTGCAGGGCTGAGATCTCATCTTGGGCCGTCAGTGCCCCCAGATGCCGCCCCGGCACCCTCCCTCCCTCGGTTTAAAAAAGAAGCGACACACAGATCCCAAGGACAAGTGTTGTCACGCTCACCTATGTGCCAGCCCTCAGCGAGCCTCCCTGTGTGGCTGTCCTCCAGCACATGAAGTGACCTGCATCCAGCGGTGATTGTCAGCAGGCCCGAGCAAGGGGCGCAGGAGACTTTCTGTGTAGCTGAAGGCAAAATTGAATAGGTGGTTTTTTTCCACGCTGATGAGAAATATCCATGGTTTCCCCCCAAAAAAAAACTCCCTAGGAAATATTTCAGAAGATTCAGCTAAAGCAATGTTGACTAGGGAGTACCTGGGGTTTGCTTTTTAAGCCCCATGAATGGGATGACCAGAGGCACTAGGGGAAATGTCTCCAACCATGCATGGAAAACAGGCTGTGCTCGCAAGGATGCCATGCATCCATGAACAGCATGAACATCCTGCCAGAGAAAAGTGAAAACACAGCCAACTGGCAAGACCAGCTCCAGGAATGCTGGATGCACTGTTCAGAGCCAGGTTGGATGAGGTTTGGAGCAACCTGGTCTAGTGGAAGATGTCCCTGTCTATGGCAGGGGGATGGAACTGGATGAGCTTTATAGTCCTTCCATCCCAAACCATTCTATGAGTCTGTAGTTCTGTGTGACCTGAACTCACTTTGGGACAACCTAGTGGTGGCGGCCTCTTCTAGCATTAACACCTGAAAGATGGTGAGCAGCCTGGGATTTCACAGCAGTGCTGAGTGGAGGCATGTGTGGCTGATAGCCAGAGACCCTGTCCTATGAAGAAGGAAGACATTTCAGGCCATTCAGAATGAACCACTGGCTAAATAAGTGGGGTGAGGAAGCAACACTGCTTTTGTAGACAACAGCCCTTCTCTTGACAGGGCACCGGACTTGAGGGTTTAGGACAACAAGGAGCCAGTCTGTCAGGGACCAGCAGGTCAGGGTAATGAACATAGCACTGGACAGAAGGTTTTTTCTCCAGAATGTTTTTTCTCTCTTGCCAAATGCAGTTTTCAACATTTACAAAAATGTGAGTCAATAACATGGATTTTCTGTGAAGAGCTTGCCCAAATCCTTCTACTTAATGCTGTCCGGATGGTATGTGAGTGGCAACATAAGGGGGCCGCTTGGGGCCAGATGAGGGACTATGGGTATGCAAAAGTCTGTTCTGCAAAAATCGAGTTGATGCAGAAGATTGTCCAGAAGACACTCTGCTGTTAGTGATAAGGAAAGCAGATTAAACCCTATGGATTAGTTTCCCTATGACGTTTTCGGTTTTCTTTTCCCTTCATTTTGTAGAGTAGAAGATTTGGGATTTGTTTTTCTAAGAAAAACATTAAATGATCAGCTCCTGATGAATATTTCAGGCACACCCCGTCCAGTAGCCATTGCTTCCCACATAAATATTCCAGGTTCATCTGCCCAGGGTATCTCAGTGTGCTGAGTACGAGTGCTTGATGCACTGCTGAATGTTCCAGGCAATGTGGAGTGATTAAATGTCCTACTTTTTTTTTGGTGGTGTCCTAGTTTTTGTGAGGATTCAGGTAGTGTGGTCAACTGCTGACAGCAACGGTGGCAACAGATACTAGTACTCCCATCTTTTCCTTAGCTTAGAAAAATATTATGTGCCAATAAATACTTTTCAAATTCATAATTCTCATGAGGTGCCATAAATAATTTACAAGCATATATAACTTCCTGTTTCACAATCAACTCTACTGAGTACAGTTGTGTTTATTAATGATGCTTCCAAAACAAGCTTGAATTTTTAAAATAAATCCTCTTTAATATGCTAGTACATGTTTGGAGCAGTCAGAAAAATGTTTGAATGTATGAAAGAACTGAATATCACTAAGATGTCTGAATGGAAATGTTCTTGGGTTCCTACGTGTGAAAGCACATCAGGGTTAGTGTAAATGAGAATTTCTAGCTCACAATGATGTATGTCTTTCAATATCCCTAGCAGAGGGACTTGACCCTGCTCTGAGCAGGGTGGCTGGACTAGATGAGCTCCAGAGGTCCTGCACCACCTCTACCATTCAGGTACTGTGTGATGTCTGAGAATTTGGGCTGGTGATTTTGAGATGGGGCATTTTTAAGAGAACTGCTCTTAGAAGGCAGAAACACTGCAGACAACAATAACAGATTGTGCGCTTGTCTCATTACTTGGCTTTACTTAGGACGCAGCATTCATTCTGAAATCCCCCTTGGCAGACATGTATGTCCTCGTTCTTGGTTGTGGCTGTCTGATCACCCTCAAGGTAGATCACACCTGCCATGCTGCTGTGCACACCAGGTACTTCTCTTTTAGCTGTCCTAGTTTTCTGCATGTCATATCAATAGAAGGAGGTATTAGAGTATGTGTACTGGAAAATGAGAGCATAAAGCGTTGATCTTGAACATCCTCTAGATTATATAGTGTATTATGTATTATAGGCCAATTAAAATGACTGCTACCTTTTTCAGAAAACTGCTCAGAGGAGGCTGGAATACGTGTTTCGTTTTATTCTGATTACTAGATGGTTTGTAGGGGAAAAAAATATAGTCCTTCAAAAAGCTTTTCTGCAATTCTAATACTTGACTGGTGATGTGTCACCTAAAATTATCACACAAATTGTGTGTGAAGACGGGTGAGTACCTAATCCCTGTTGCTCAGGTCTAACCCATTTTTGAAGAGTAAAAATGTCATTGTGCCTCTACCACCAGTGCCAGGCCTGGTGGCCTCAGATACATGACTGTGCTTCAGGGACATACTTGTTTGTAACTTTAGGAAAGCCACATGCTCAACTGTCTAATTGCTCTTCTAAGCCAGAGAATATGGGTGAAATAATATAGATATTTTTGTCCATTGCTTGGCAATAACCTACAACTGACAAGGCCAGAGAATGATTTAGTCTTCTGTCCAGCACAATCTGTCCTCAGGTCCTCATCTTAGCTACCTCATCTGGACTGCTGTTTTTCTGTTGTTACTGTTTCTCTGGCAATGAGATTGACCATATATATTCATTTTGCTGAAGTTACTGGTTTCATCATTTGATATGTAGTTTTGCGTGGGAGCTTCAGAATCAGGAACAGAAGTCCTGCTCACAGTCACCACTTAGTACCAGTGGGGCTTTATTCAAATTCATGGTCTGAAAGCTAATTGTAGCCATGTGGTAGGCCATAGGTAAGCCTCATATGGCTGAAGTGGATGACCCCATGTGCATCTCCACTAAGTCCTGTATCAGCACTGTACAAGGGCAGAGAAGAGTTTTTCGTGATGGTAGCGTAAAGGATATATGCCTATGCATGCACAAAAGAAACAGACAGTGTAGTCGTTCTGTCATCCTTATCGTGATGAAGAATTGAGACCCCTCTGCCTGCTGGTTATTCTGGCATTCGTGACTCAGCTAAGGATAGGCTGAGGGTATAAAATAGCAGTGCTGTCATTCATACCTCTTGCCATCAAGGTGGTCGTATGTCTTCAAGTGCTTCTGTGCAAGTAAAATGCAGATAGCTGCTTTTATTGCAAAGAGACCAGATTTATTGCTGTGTAGAAGCTGTGTGTTTGTCACACCAATGTAAGCCTGTGTTCCTGCTAGAGTGAGGCAAGGTTGTTACTGATTGTAGTCTGCCTCCCCGCTTTCTACACATGATTAATATCAGTGCATAGCTTTTGTGCAGCTGATGAGAAAAACCCAGGCTGTAAATCTCTTGTGTCTGGCACAGCGAGGGAGGTTATAATTTGCTTTACTTTAATTCTACAGCACCTGAACACCAAGCATGATTTAAGGTGGGGAAGAGCCCTTTTCCTTGGTGGATGGCAGCAGGCCTGTCTCTCCAGATCAGGCTGTGGGATTGAAGCCCCAGCCTTACAGGATCATCACCCTCCAGCTCTTCTCTCCCCACAAGCCATGGGCACAGGCTGGCTGCAGACAGAGCTCTTTCTCTGTTCCACCCCTGGCCACCATCCTGTGTAAGAGAGCACTGCAGCCACTAAAGCTAATCAAAGAAAGTTCCTACCTGTGAGAGCAGAGAAAGTTCATGATGGATTCTCTAGCCCTCATTTCCAGCTCTGTCTAGAGGTGTGAGTCCCCGGGGTAGTCATGTCAGAAATGAGTGCTTGCTTCACTGTGTTGGAGAAAGATCTGAATCCCACTGGCAGGTTTTTTTGTTGGGTAGCTCAGAGAAACTCTGCACAAGAATAATCTCTCCCCTTTCTTCCCTTCCTTGCTCTTCTTTGGCTCTTCTGTACGCAGAACACAACATGCACTTCACCATCCCTAGAAGGAAATTCAGGACTGTGCCTAGCATATTTCTGCAGCAAAAAACCACCACCTTTACACCCTGCCCCCTCTTCCCATGACTGAGCTATTACATAGAAATATTCCCTGATTCTCAAAGTTTATTAACCTTTTTTTCCAAGGGAATGAATAGAAATATTCACAGCTTTTGAACAGCTGCAGAAACCCATTAAATTGCTCTGTGGCAATCTTGTCAGGAACTTGTTCCTTTAGCACAGACAGGTTTCAAAAGGCTCTGCACTCACTCCCAACCTATTTGGATTCAGTAAATGCAGGTGCCATTGTGGAAGTGTCTAGTGGAAGGTGTCGTTGCCTGTTGCAGGGGGATTGGAACTGGATGATCTTTAAGGTCCTTTCCAACCCAAACCATTCTGTGATTCTGTGGTTAGGGTGAGCAGCCCTGGACCCTAAGTTTTAAATATAGCAGGGCAACAGACAAAATGACCCTTAAGAAAGTCCTGCTGATGCAAGCTAAGGCCACTCATCTCTGAGCTCATGTTGTTACTATGGCGCTGCTACATATTAAGGGACTTTGCATAGCAAATAGTACAATACAGAGAGGGAGAGAGAAAGAGAGAGACCAAATGCATAGCGCAGACATTCTCATGGTGTGTGTGTGCCACGATAAGCAGCATCTATTTGGAAGAGATGTAGCCATCAACCAGCTTGCTGGTAATACATAACCTCTTCTGGGCTTACACCTGCAAGCAGGTATTTCCACTTCTGCAGACAGAATCTGAGTGATTTAAGCCATGAGAATCTCCAGTCCAGCATTTTGATTCTAGCAGACATTAATGCTCATTGTTCAATAGCCAGAATAAATGTCATATTCTCTCCATTTATCCCTGTTGTACATCGGGATGAGACACTGTAAGTTTTAAGGCTTTTCTTGATTTCTGTCTGTCCTGGAATGTAATGTTGCATACTACTTACCTGTGTTTACGTTAAGATATCACCTACCTGAAAATCCAGCTGCTGCTATATGCCGTCCTGGTTACATTCTATAGCCAGATGATCCTATATTCAGAAGAGCTTCTGAAAACTACAGTTACATCTGTAACAATGATTCATTTTTCACTGAGGCAGTGACAGCCTAATCCGTGGACCAGATGGAGTGGGGCCTTGGGCAGTTGTAATCAAAGAGCAGCAGCCACAGTTTGAAGGAGAGAGTCCCAGTTGGTTTCCTATTAAATGCTTCTATTTTCATTTTGTTTTGACTCAATTGTGTGCATCACCACGGCCCACTGAACACATCTGGCTGACATCTTAGATTGCATACCCAGCACATTAGTATGTTTGCTCAAAGTTTCACTTCTTCCAAAGTCAGTGGCAGTGCTCTGTGATGGCAAGTTGGTTTATCCTTCTACTTAGGTGGAGTTGAGAGAGCAACAGAATCAGTTGCAGGCAAAGGCAGGCTGAAAAGATTCATCACTGTTATGATGAACCATTCCCATGCCTCTTCACCAGCGAAATATCTTTGCCTCTGTAGAAGCTAAAAGATTAATTTATCATGGATTTTGGAGCACAAAATATGGCCACTTAGGAAGAATATAATCCTGCTGAGTTACTATCAATTGGTCTACTTCAATCCCTGCCAAATGATATATCCCACATCTAATACTGACAATTGCTCATGAATTGTTACTGGCCATTTCATTGGTCTGTGAAGTAAAGGCCTTGATGTTTTCATGTGCTGATGAATGCATAAATATACTTTGTTGTTTTTTTTTCTTTTAAATTAGAATAAAATCTGATGTTCAGCTTTTTCATTGTCTCCCAGCTTTCAGTTATTTCAAAGGTTACCTTTTTACTCCTCCCTTTAGGGAAAGGTTGCTGGAGATCCTGTCATACATACTGCTTCCTTAGGTTTTGCAAGACATTAGAGAGTTCTTCCAAACATGTTTCCTTATAAACTCTGTATAAGCATTTTCAGCAAATGTATTCCAATGAGCTCTTTAGCTAGTTTGGGTTTTGTACAGCTTCACATTGCATTTATCTTCCAGAAATTTCCCAAGTGATATGGTTTTAAAAATTGTTACATTATTGTTGTTATTCTTGTGTTACTAACTGACATTCTAATTATAACACAGACATTGCTTTTGAACTCCTTGTAGTTTCTTTTACTGCATAGAGTGTATTTTCTTTGAATTCATATCACATTGTGATCTGGTGTCAGTTCAAAGGTTGGCTTTGCTTTTTGCACTGGTTAGGCATTCTTTTCACTCAATATGCTGCTGTAAGGATCTATGATAAGATGATACTGGGGGCAGTGTAAGACTCTGGGACTTAACAAGGCTAGATTAGAACAGTCTTGTATTTTACATTAAATGAAAGCAGTTTGAGCCACAGTTACAAACCTGCTATCCATGCTCTCAAAATGCACAGGCGTTATTAACTCCATTTATGTGACATCTTCGCTTGCTTTGTTTTCTTGCTTTCCTTTGCAAAGAACAGATGGGAAGAGTAATTTCAGTAGTGAATACCATAAGGTACCTGGAGTAAAGTAAATTAAGGAAATACCATAAATGCAAGAATGAAGCAGTTAAACCTCTAAGAGGAGATTTACAATTAAGAATTAACAGAGAACATATCCTTTGTCAAGAGACAGAAACCACTTGGTTCAGACTGAATCTTGCAGAGGATGAACAGGGCTGACATTACATATACATGGAGAAACTCAAGTCATAGAAGAAAGGATATTTAAGATGTCAAACATGTAAAGCAGTTTATGTACAATGGAGCAGGTAACATAAGTTGGTACAATGTCTATTATATGATGAAAGATGCAAGGAGTACTAAGGATTACATTGTTTTACAAAAACATATGAATACTGACAGAAGGAATATATAGAATAGGTAAGGAAAACAAGGACAGCGCAGCTTGCTTAGGTGAAAATTGTATAGCAAAAATGTACAATATAGCAGCCAAAGATGAAATTGTGTAAGTGGAAGTAAATAGGACATTTATTTTTTAACTGTTTCACAGAAGCAAATCTGTTGCTAGAGGTAGTTTTAGAAGATGCTTAGGAGAGTCAGACATAGCAGGAAGTAAATACAGAAACCAGAATGGACAGTGACAAGCTTAATAAGCACTAAGAAGTATGTGAACAAAACTGGGAAATATATTGGAAAAGTCATAATTTATGAAACTGACCCAGGAAAGATCTCAATTGAATACAAAGCAGACCTGGAAAAGTCTCTCTCCTTTAGCCTCGTGCTACTACCTCCTCTCTGCAATTACTGTCTTTAGGAAAATTACCCTTAAATTAGATGCAAAGCAGGGGATGTTAGTAGGATCGTTGGACGGAGGATGTTACAACAGGTACTGTCACGTTCCTCTTTGTAGGAACAAAACACAGTATCTTCTAGTGCCAGACCTGCTAGGACAAAGCTAGGCAAATAATATGGAAAGTTCTAGGCAATGCAAATAATGTACGAATAAATGACATTAACTGAAAAAGTCAAATGAGTAGATTGTGGGTGAGATGACAGAGGAGGGCCTGTCCACATGGACAAGGAAAATATATACATTCATTGGGAAGGTCGGTAACACAGAGACATTTGCCCCTAATCTAGCTGCTTGCAGCAACCACCTGGAGCACTGCTGTGCAGTGATGTTTAATGGATGTGCAATGTCAATATTAATCAGTCTGAGAAACTGAAGGAGTTCATTAGGGGACTCTGTTACAGTGGTTCACAGCACAAGAGGTAAGTTATGCACTTATTTCTCTAAAGATGCTGCTAGTGGTGCTGCAAAGCTATGCTCAAAGCTGAGAAACAATGACTTCTGTGCCAGTGAAATGTGATAGTGGCATGCTTTTGTAAATAAAGAGATTTTGGCTTTAATTTACAGAAAAGAGTGCTTGCTGAAATTGGCCTTTTACACTCAGTCAAGCCAATTCCTCATAGGAATTACTGTTTGCAGTTACATGCACAGCTGGCAGGCATCTGGGGGACCCAGACCCACTCACAGATACCTGTGTGCAAGTGCAGTAAGTGCAGCTTAGAATTAGATTTGGTGGGAAATGATATGACTTAGAAAAACAACCAACTGAATATCCAAATTTTTGTCCAACCTTGAGCAAAAGACAGACTGTGATTGCCAGAGCTATAGCTGGGAGACTGCAGAGAAAATAATGTTATTAGCAGAATTGCTATTCAAAATTATGTAGAAACTCTCGTTAGGATCAAAATGGTTGTGTGAAAGTCCTTTAGGGACTGAAAAATCTAAGCAAAGATCCGGGAAAATATTCCTCAGACATTAAAGGCACTGAGGAAGCAGGTAAAACTCACCACATACACTGAAAATGCAAGCAATTTAGATGGTTCATTTGGATGAAGTAGGGCAAGCTGCAGAGCTGCCTATGTGCTCTGTGTATGTATAGCAGTTGCCATTGCTTTATTGAAACAGTGGGACATAAGCAGCTCTGTATTCACCAGAGATTGTCACCTCCATCACATGATTAGTTATGTGATCATCTCCAAATCCAAAAGGGGGGGAAGAAGGGGGCAATGAGTCTGTTGTTTCCTCTGGGAGGGGTGGGCAGCCTCAGCATCTGCAGGTTCATGATTATGCAACTGCTTTGTCCCAAGCCAGTACTGAAGATCCAAGCAGCAGCAGCAGATTCCTTCCACTAATGCTTATGCTGAAATTTCACTAAGCATCACTTTAGAAAGGAAGATGTGGTCTTAAGACTATGACTTTGATGGCCAAGCACCCCTGTCACTGCTGTGCTGTCAGGCTTTTGTTGCCATTACACATGGGCAGTGGGAGCTGGACAAGGTGTAAGGCAGAGCTCTTGAAAGCCAGGCACAGTCTGATGTCTTGGACTTGTCAAAACCCCACAGTTCATGACCCGGTGTACTTACAGCAATCCCATTAATACGTTGGGCTGTCTCTGGTGTGCGTGCTGAGTCCCACCCTGGGCTGTGGGGAACCACATCTGCTTGCCTGCTTTCCTGGGTAAGGCTTTGTCCCACAGCCTCACAGGCAGGTGAAATAGCCTGGACCAAGCATCAGTCACCAGGTATTTCACCATAATGAAATGTGCATCCTGCTAATTTGGGAATAATTGTATCTCAGATTAGTAGCCATTGATATCTTCCTTCACCAAGTTTATTTACTCTGTGACAGAGTTACTGTGTCTTAAACAGAAATCACCCTTAAGGTATCATTTAATTATCTTTTCTTCATTCTGCAAATCTGTTTCATATTACCAATAATCTTATTACTACAACTGCAACATTCATTAAGCAAACAGAGGACAATAAAAGTACATGCACTAATAGCAATCAAATTAAGTTTGAATCTCAGTGAGTGATGGATAGTTCTGGAGTAGGTTGTTCTGATAGATTTTTTGCCCATTATTTTCTGATAAAGGTTTAAATAGCTCAAGAAAATCCTATTTCAATTACAGGACATTTTATGTGACCTGGTTGCCACAAAATGCCATGGTCAGAATGAGAAATGGTCACAGATCCCTTCCCATGTGAGCAGGGAGACCACTCTGCAGAGACAGCATTGCTGGATTTCCATGGCAAACACCAGTCCTGCTGGAAACACAGTGAAGCTGAACTCTGTAACAGTGATCTGACATCTCTTGAGTATGTCAGATACTTCCAGGTGACATACTGGATGGTCTTGCATCAGACCAGGAAGCCATCACCTTCTTCTTGACACAGCATCTCCTGATGTTGCATTGAAGGAAGCAAAAACTCAGAGGAGTTCTGAGCCATCAGAATTTAAAAGGTTTGGGACATGATCCTCAGCTTGTGGAAGTAAATGAAAATTCATTCACGACGAGCAGACTGCAAGATTTTTCAAGCTGTTGATACCTATTGGCCGTGCCAGGTTATATTTAGCTGTGTTACACCTGCACAGAGCCACTTGAACATGTGTCAAAACAATTCCCCTCTCTAGCTTTGCTTCATACTGTCTAGTCCAACAACAGATCATTGTTTTTCTCACTGGTAAAATAACTGCTGACAAATGTAAGGTTTTTTGTTTGTTTTTTTTTTCTTGTCCAGCTGCAAATGCATGAAATACGTATTTGGAACATTTTATGGGTACATAGCACACCTGATGGAAACATTTATGACTGCTTCCTCTCTGGGCACATCAAAAACATCTTCATCCAACTTCATTATTTTTATCAACTCTACTCATACTTGATGTTCATTCTGGCCTGGAATTTTTTTCCTGAGTATCTCCAACACCCTCGCACTGCTTAATGGGGGCTCCCTAAGAAGCAGAATTGTAGGAGACCCCTTTCTAGCCAACCCTCCTCGGGGCTGCAGGAGAAAGGGGCAGCTCTCAGCGTGGTTCACAGTTTGGAAATGCACTGTGAGAAACTGGAATCAGTAGTGTGGTTCCTCTTGGCCATTCTGTTGGTAGGATGGAAGCTAAAACAGCAGACCTTGGGAACTGGATTTGCCCTTAGCCTCCTCTGATCTCTGGAAGCAAAAGGCGAGTGTTTTCTGAGCTGGCAGGAGCGAATATGACAGCAAAGGAGAAATGAGAGAGGAAAGCGAATGCAGGGCTCTGCACAGAGGTGACACCCTTGAGGGCAGAGCTGGATAGCTGGGCCCTTGGCCTTGACCTCGCTATTTGTGACTGGACACAGGCAGCAGGGAGGCAATAAAAGGTTTTTTATTTAAGGTGCTGACATTTCAGGACAAAATGAGAAAGAGAGGTGCTAAAAGAAAACCACATTGCTTTTCATTCCTCTGTCCTCCCACTTCCTCCTTAAATGTTATGGGATGAACTCACTCAATTTAAGTACTTGTCAGCGAAGTCTGATGGCACAATCACAAGCCATTCACAGTGCCTTTGGGAACACTGCCCGGAGGCCAAGCACTGGCAGCCATCCTGGCACTGCCTGTGGGTACAGCACAGCTCCTCTCTGTCTTCTCCTCTTTACCCAGGCTCACTGGGCAGTGATCCTGGTGCATGACCTCCTGCACCCCTGTTCGTGAGTCCTGCAAGGCCTTGTGCTGCAGGAGCACACTCAATGTTCAATAACAGATGAGCACGTTATTAATAAATGTGTGACTCGGACCTAACTCTGCAGAGAAGTAGCAAGGATGGTGAAAATTAATTGGTTGCTGCTGGCAAAATGATGGAAAGGGACTGCTTAGTACAGGCTGGGACTATGCTGCATTTGCAGCAGCACTTCCTTAGAAGTCTTCGCAATAAGCTCTTGCAGATCTTGACCTCCATCCCTGCCTATTGGTGAGCAAAGCAAGGCAGACAGGGGGGTTGCAAGGTTTCTTGCGAGGCCCTTCAGGATGGTGCTATTGGAGAAGGGGGAAAAGCCTGGCTGACTGCCCATCCTGAGGCACAGCTTCCGTCAGGGCCATCTTCCTGTCTCTGTAGATGTTCCAGCTTGCCAGGTTTAGCTTGGGAGCATTTAGATCCTGCCTCAGACAACGTGGATCTCCACTCTGATGGTGAATGTTTCCATATCATCTGCCCTGATGGGCATCTCTTTGGG